AAAAAAAAAAAAAAAAAGAGAGAATCCATTTAACCATCAAATCATCAATTCAAAAAGTTACACTAAACAAGTAAAGCTAATTACTCAAGACAAATTCCAACATATATCATTATAAATAAATAACTCACATTCTTTTTCTTCAAGCTGGAGCTCGTACCCCCGACAACCATCCCCAACAGCAAATCCAAGCTTTGGACCGACTACACATTAGCCCCCGTTGAGCATAAAGCATTGAGCTAAACTGAGAGCGTGAATTCCTGCAGTTTTTGTTAAAATCCGGTTATTTTTTTTTGAAATTACGAATTCGGAAAAGAGGCGGCAACTATGTACCCTTGACTTAAAATCATAATACAAAAAATGGGTTCAGGAGAAAGAGGTTGTTAGAGATGAAATAAGTGGTACCTGAGAGTACAACCAAGTCTTTCATATCAAGGTCTTTTGCAATAAACTTTGCAGTGATATTCTCCAAGGGATCGAAAGGTGAGGGTAGGTCGGCATTAGTTGCAGTCTCATTAGCCGTTAGACCATCTCGACATTCCAAAGGCAGAGGAATAAAGTCTCTTCCACTCTGTATTTACATAATTAATTAGAAAAAAAAAAACAAAAACAAAAACCAAAACAAAAAATAGATAAGATCATGTAAAAAAGATTTGCACACATAAAGAATAGAATTGTTAAACTTTTAAAAGACTTGTGTAATTTGTACCACAAAGACAGTTAGAACAACCTGAACTCATCATCACTCGAACATATTCACGAACATTTTATCTAAGCCCACATCAAAATATTTCACCCATAATTAAAGCCAAACAATAAGCCGTCTGAGCTTAAATCAATTTTTCCAGCAGATTATCCTAAAACCAAACAACAAATGTAAATAAATCACAATTCAGATAAGCTAATAAGAGGGAAAAAAATCATGTCTCACTGTCATGAATAAGACCAACCAAAGTAATCTTTTGGACAGATTAGTTGAGACCTCCCAGTACTGAGGTTAGTAACCTTCAAATACTTGACTCATCTATTGTCAGGCCAAAAAACTTAGAATCAAAGCCTACAATGCACAAAATCAGAAATAATTCAAATGATGTTCTACCAAAGTAATGGTGATTCAAAAAGAATCTTATACAAAAACAATGATCCTTTAAAAAAAAGCACAACGAAGCTCCAGAATTTGAAGAATTCCGAAATTTTTGAGATTGTGGTGAGGGGAATACTGGTTCAGATCCAATACACAAATTTACACTAAATTAACATAGTGACTATTGAATGAAAAATGCTATAAAATGAAACCAGAGAAATTAAGCAAATCTTACTTCGAGTAAAATTTACAGTCAGAGCGATTGGTCAGTCCACGATCATTTCTTTAATCATCACAATCGCCTTTAACCTATATTCCCCAGCCGACCCATGTAGCTACGCCGCCGCTCTGGTTCTATCCTCCAGGCGATCGTCGGACCCGGAACCCTGTGTAACCTTGGATGCTCTGTGTAACAAAAGGAGAGATTTCTGAGTTGTGACTGAGATTCACGTCTGGAAGAGATTTGCGTGTGGGAGAGAAAATGGTTCGATTTTGTCTTTTGAGGTGATTGTTGCGTGTGAGAGAGGAGTCTTCTGTAGGAAGCCAAACAAACATAAAATTACAATACAAACCTTTAATTGTAGAGTCAACGCAATTCAGTAATCTCCTAAAAGCTAAGCCAATTCTACAAAAGCAAATAAGTACACGTGTCGGCCTCTAAAACACTAT